CCCCAAAACCCCAAAACCCCAAAACCCCGTTTGATCTTTACTTGATTGAGAGTTGGATGGTTTCTTGTAATATTATTTTATAATAAGTATGGAAGTTCTTAGGACAAAATACGGGATTAAGCCTCGATTAAAGATAGTTAATGTAAGGGGAATTAGAAATGGTGGTCTTATTGATGAGACTTATCTGTATTAAGCCTTGTTGACCCAATCTACATTCTTCTTAAAATTTAAAAAGTCTTTTTATGTCAAAACTTGTAATCTGGTGTAGATGAATATGACTCCTCACAGAATCCCAGTTACGAAAGTAAGTTCTAGATTAAGAGACTTCTTGAAATAATATACTTAGAGTCTTCTACAAATTTGGCATTGACTATAAAGATCTTGCCTTAATTGCATTTCATTCGACCTCAGTACAATTCTGGAGATTTGTAAACCCATTTGGATTTTATTAAAGAATGCCATTGTTAATCTTTGATTCAGAGAAAATGAAATATCGCCACAAAGCTTTTAAAAATAAGGAGAAAACGGAGACTTAATAGTCCAAGTCCTGCCAGTAAAACTTTCTTAAAGAAGAGAAACAGATCACCCTGAATCACCACAAATAAAGAGCCTGTGTGAGTTGCATTTTAGTTTATTTAGTAGCTTCTAATTTAGTAGAATTTTTGAAAATATTAATCATAATTCATCTAGTTCCTGACTCAGAAAGCAAAGACTCAAAATGAAGATCAATCTGAAGAGTAAGAAAAAACTTAGAGTGATAGCCAAAAGTCCTAGCCCAAATCACGATCTTAAGATATTCTGAACACCTACTGCTAAAGCATATGAAGAAGAAACAAAAAGATACATGGCTATTATAAAGAAGGTTCAGGATGCAATTGGCAGGAGCCCCAGAATGTTCAATTCTCCCAGAATTCTTAAGAAAGTGCTTTTATGCTGGGAGTCTCACAAAAGGATGAGTATGTTTCCCTTCATTAAACTTAACAAAAACCCTATAAATCTCCCTGTTTTTATTTAACATAAAGTGGTTATCCTGAATATAGCCAACCAAACTCTTTCCAAAACCTCCCCAAAACTCTTCACCTCCCACAACTCCACTCAAACCTTCGAAATCCCCAACCCTCAGTCTCTCCTCCCTAACTCCTCGTTCGGGACTCGAAAGCTCACCTACAACCCTCAGTTTCTCTAAAACTCCAATCTGTTTATTTCACATCAATGAATCTCAAAATGTTTTAGCAATCAGTAAAAGCAGAGGTTTCAATTTTACTTAAATTCCTTGGGGTTTTGGGGTTTTGGGGTTTTGGGGTTTTGGGGTTTTGGGG